GTGTTCCTGGTAGGACTTTAGCTCTAACATTGATTGCTGTTTCCCCAAAACCCCCATACCCACATGTGGGGAGCACTGAGTTCTGTGTCCGTGACTCTAGCCTGGTCTAATCCTGGACGCAGCGGGTATTTGGGATGTGAACTAGCAGAATCAACATCATCATCTCTGCATCTCTCTGTCTCTTCGCTTTTCATAGCCATAAATTAAGTTTGTTTAAAATCCAATAGAGTGTGTTCCTCTTTGAGAAAGTTGATTCTCTCAGTGCACACATTACAATTATTGAATTGAAAGAAAAAATTTTTGTACAGAAATTAAGGTAATTTATTTTCATTTACCTTAATTTCTGCATGAAATATTTTATTTTTTAATATTCACTTACACAGAACCAACCCATGTTACTTGAGTTGTGTGCAGAAGATGCTAGAAGTTTATATTTAAAAAAAAAAACCAGTTTATACCAAAGGTTTAAATACTACTTCCACTCCTATTAATTGAAAAAAAAATAGCTGAGGACATTTGTTTAACCTTTTGGGGGCTGTTACTGTTTCAGTTCAGCACATTTCAATGATAAGTCAGGTAATCTAATTTAAACATAGTTACAAGAGATGACAATGTGACATATAGTTAGTAAAATGTTGTGATTTCAAGCTAGTACAAATACTGACAAGAGATCTAAGCATATGCATGATGATTATATTTGAATTTTAATTAATATGAAGATCTGTAAATATTTAGATTTTATTAAAAATCCTTCTGCATTACACAATTTGAAGACTTCAGTTCCAGCTCTTACAGTAGGAGGGTAAAAGAAGCAGAAAAACAATCACTCATACCCTTTTGTTAAAAACCAAAGGTTCACAAAAAAATATGAATAGCCAGAATCATCCTGAAGAACAAGAACCTAACAGGAGGGACCAGCACAGTAGGCTAGTTGCTAAAGTCTCACTTTGCACATGCCAAGATCCCATATGACAGCTGGTTCTAATTCTGGCAGCCCTGCTTCTCATCCAGCTCACTACTTGTGGCCTGCAAAAGCAGTCAAGGACAGCCCAAAGCCTTGGGACCTTGCACCCACATGGGAGACATGGAAGATACTCCTAACTCCTGGCTTCGGATCAGCTCAGCTCCAGCCGTGAGGTCACTTGGGGAGTGAATCAGTGGATGGAAGATCTTTCTTTTTTTCTCTCCTACTCCCTATATATCTCACTTTCAATAAATAAATAAGGGATCACAATCCCAGACTTTTAGCCATATTATAGGGTAATAGTTATCAAAAAACCCTGGTGCTAGCACAGAAACAGAGAAGACCAATGGAGTAGCATAGAAACACCAGAAGGGCACCCACACATGCACAGCCATCTAATCTTTGACAAGCAAACAAGAACAATCCAGGAAAGAAGGAGGATCTCTCAATAAATGCTGTTGGGACAACTGGTTAACAGCCTGCAGAAATAAGAAGCAAGACCCGCACCTTTCATCATACACAAATATCAAACCTAAATGGATAAAGGATCTAAACTTACACCCAGAAACCATCAAACTTTTTGAGGAAAAAGATGGAAACACTCTGCAAAATATAGGCGTAGTCACTGACTTCCTAGAAAACTCACCAAAAGCCAAGGAAACCAAGACCAAAATAAACAAGCGGGACTACAGTAAGCTAACAAGCTTCTGCACAGCAAAAGAAACAGTCAACAAAGTCAAAAAGCAACCAAGAGAATGGGAGAAGATCTTTGCACACTACATAGGAGAAAAGGGGCTAATTTCCGGAATATACAAAGAACTCCAGAACAACCATAACAACAAAACAAATTAACCAGTCAAGAAATGGGCAAGGGAAATGGGCAGACACTTTTCAAAGGAACAAAACCAAATGGCTAACCAGCATATGAAAAATGTTCTAGTTCCCTGACAATAAGGAAATTAAAATAAAGAAAACACTATGTTCTATTTAACTCCAATAAAAATGACCCATATATAGAAAACTACCAGCAACACCTACAGCAAGGTTGCAGGGAAAAAGGAACCCTACTCCACCTCTGGTGGGATTGTAGGCTGGTGCAACCACTACAGAAGTCAGTATGGAGAATACTTAGGCAATGGAAAATTTACCTAGCATATGATGCAGTCAATATCACTTCTAGGAATATATTCAAAAGACTATCTTATTGTACTTCCTAATTATTTGCACCTTTTGTAAAAAGACTTTGTCATGTAATCCATTAATCAATCATCCATAAGAGACCCATTGCTTGTAATCATGTGAGATTGTCAGTGTCCCTTTTATCACTGTTATTTGTACTGCCCATAAGTAACAATTATCTAATCCCTATCGTACTCTACTCAGTGCCACACGGGACACATGCTGGCATTTATGCCTATGTGAAGATGCTGGACACTTTTTCACCACCCTACTGTCACATTGATACTTCTGTTTTATGTTCATCAACTTCATGTGGATGAAGGTTCACTATTTTAAACATCTCCCCATGGTGAACTATACTCAAAGAGATGCATAATGGAAGTGTAGCAGAAATTAATATGTTCATAGGTGGAAACAGAGAGAAGTATGTTCTCATGCATGCAGTGCAAGGATGGACTCACAGGGAGACAGCTGATAATCTCCTACATTGTTGGGAGACATTTCAATGGCAGCACGATGGACTTGTAAAAATTCATCAAAGAACCCATTGTCAGGTGGGAGAGGAGAAGGGAGGGGAGAGAACTTGGGGAGTGGGAATGGAAACCTCAGTGCTTACTAAACAGTATCATAAAACAAACAAAAAATAAATTAAATAAAATCAGGCGTTCAACAGTTCTCACAATAATTTGACTCCCACAGAGAGTCAATCACCTTGAACAGTTGTCCGCTATCAAGCAGACACATCCAAATATTTTAGAAATTAAACTCAGGTTTCATTCCAAAATTCCGAACCCTAATACACACTGTAAATGGCCTCCGAGTGACTCCAATACATGATTTGAGAAGCACTATTTTATATTGGGGAATGGCAGGGCAAAGCAGGGAGTGGAAATTCTTGTATCCTTACCTGTATTTTCCCACCTATCTAGACTTGTCATGCTACATATATTATTAATGCTGTTTGTCGGGCACTATACGAAGACATTCATATTCACTGTCATGTTTAATTATTACAACATGCCTATGTAATGGAAAATATTACTGATATTTTAGAGCTTCAAAACTGGAATTTATCACAGATAAGAAGATAAAGGAAGTACAAATGGACAATCATTAACTGTAGGGAACTGACTTGATAAATTGCCCACTTAATCATTGTGCTTCCAACATATCAAGATATGATACACAGATTGAACTCTAGCAGTTAAGACGCCAATGAAGACACTTGCATCTCTTCTCAGGGTGCCTGCATTCAAGCCCTGCTTCACTCCCAGTGCACACACTGGGAAGCCACAGGTGTCAGGGCGTCACTCAGCACACAGGCTCCTGACCAGCTCCATCCACTAGCTCAGACCCCGAAAGTATTTGGAAGTCCACTTTCTCTCTGTCCCTCCCCCACAATTATTATAAGATACATCAAATGCTGTTCAACCTATAAAGAATATATCAAGCTTTTAATGGATAAAGTATAAATTACAAAAAGAATGGAATGGAAAGGTAATCTTGCCCTAGATGAAAATAAAAAAAAACTCACATAATTTAAATAGTTTAATCTTTCAAACTCCTCCCTATTAGCCAACTAATGGTTTTAAAGCAGAAAAAAAAAAAGATTGGAGAAGCATGGCACTGGCTACTCAGAAGTAAGTTTCACTTTTCTACTTTGAAAATGAGTTATTAAAAATAATTCTATAATATTGCTCAACCTGTCTATTTATCTATGCATGTCTCTAATCTGTGAAAGATGATATTGCATCAGATACTAATGATTAAGTATTTTCATTAGTTGTAGCTTTTTTCATCAGTTATAAAGATAAAATATACTATTCTATTTCACATTTAGCAGTGGTAATGAACAAAACAAGTAAAATAACAGAAATACTACCGTAACTTGGCCACATTCAAACTTGTGACTCACATGATTGTAAAGATCTGACATTCACTGAACCATTGATTACATGCAAGGCACTGCCACAGGTAGATTCTGTTTCTAATCATAACCATGAAATAAGGACTAGTTGGGATTTATAATTATGAATATTTATTGTTAACACTGAACTTTTAAGCATTAGCCGCAGGAGTTAAACCCAGGTAACTTAACTTGGCTGCAATTCTCGTCCTGCATCTCGTAAAACAAAGCAAAAAACAAAAACAAAAACAAACAAACAAACACCTTCCTTTCTGGTCCCACTCTTCAAAAGGGAATGTACAGGACTGTCTCTGGGTCTTTTAGAGGTTACGTTACGTAACCTCTTTTAGAGGTCTTTTAGTTACGTTGCCTTCAGCGTCATGCAATTAGGTAAGTGTTTCAGGTTTATTGGATCAATAATATGAATTATGCCTTTAGTCCCAGGCACCTGTTTTTTTGCTTGTTTGTTTCTGTTGGAATGATCGAAAGGTAAACTATTCTGTAATTTGCTTCCTTGCACCATCTAGTGGATTTCAATGACAACTGCGGGAGAAGGATTGTAAATGATTACAAATCAGTCACAGAAGCCAACCTCTCCAATGTTCTCCGGAGAACTTACTAAAAAATGATGTTTGCGACCGTCTCCCCATAGTGCACGTAACTGCTACTTAATTTTCCCTTTCCGGAGGGGAGAAATCAATGCAGCCAGCGTGTTGAAGTCATGAGCGCATGTTTAGTTATCCAAAGAAAACGACATTAGTGAGCTTCTATGTAATCTCTTAAAAGCGAGCGACGAGGATACTCAGTCTCAGCCGCGTCTCGGCCGGTTTCCACAGAGCCGGCGGCGGCCGAGCGGGAGCCCAGCGCGCCTGCGCGGAACGGCGGCGCAGGCGCGCTCGGCGGCGGAAGTGGGGAGGCGGGGCCAGGGCTGGCCGGCGAGCGGAAGCGGCCCTGGCTGCTCGGTGAGGCGGAGTGGCGGCCGGTGTGGAGCCCCAGCAGCGGGGAGACTCCGCGACGACCCGGGCGGACGCTGAGTTGGTAGCAGCCGCCTGCTGTGGCTTCCCTTCCTCGTGCCGCCGCGGACGCCGCCGGAGGACGAGGCCCTGAGCGACAGGCCTAGGCGCGGCCTGCGGAGCCCGTGAGTAAAACGAGCGCCCTCTCCGCCGTCGTTGACGCGTTAAGATGGAGGAGATTTCCTTGGCCAACCTGGATACCAACAAGCTGGAGGCCATCGCTCAGGAGATCTATGTAGACCTGATCGAGGATTCGTGCCTGGGATTCTGCTTTGAGGTGCACCGGGCCGTCAAATGTGGCTATTTCTACCTGGAGTTCGCAGACACCGGGAGCGTGAAGGAGTTTGGCCTTCAGCCGGTGGAAGACAAAGGAGCGTGCCGCCTCCCGCTCTGCTCCCTTCCCGGGGAGGCCGGGAATGGGCCCGACCAGCCGCTTCAGCGCTCCCCGCCCGAATTCCAGTAGTAGCTGCAGCAGGAGAGAGAGACTGGTCCCTTGGCTTGGAGGAGTGAGCGAAGTAGATACGGAAACCAGACAGAAGTCCCAGCTTTCTTGAAAGATCTTAACATTTCCAAAACCACAAGTTGGAGAATTTAGGGATATCAGATCTTTTTTCTTTTCTTTTTTTCCTCTTTTTTTTTCGGTATGCTCCCTGGCGCCCACTGTGAGACCCAGGGCAGGAGGGCAAGCCCAGCTTAGGCACCGTGCGGTGTCTGGTGGATGTGAGACACGCGGGGTGTGCACAGGATCCCTCTCCTGTCCCCCAGTATGAAGCTGAGCGGTCCTGTGCCCAGTGTGCAGGCCTTTGCTTCCCTGGCCTGATGTCAAGGGCTTCTGGGACGTTGGGACAGTCCTGGTGGCTGGGCCATGCTCACCGAACTTCCTTGGGACTCCTGCGCTCTGGTTGTGTTTCGCAGACGAATGAAAACCACCCAGGAGAGATGGATACTAACCGCTTCAACTCGAAAGGAAAAGAAAGACTTTGGCAGCAAAACTCTTAACCTTGACTCTCTCACAAGAAGAAAAAGTCAAAAAAAACCCACCTGTTGACCAGAGGCCTAGCATTGAGAGTGATGTCGGCGGACTTGGAGACAAGGAGAGCTTTTTTGGCTGAGCAGAGAGCCCTCGTTCTTGGCCTCCCAAATGCCACTGGCCTTCACACTGGGGCAGCTTGTTGTCGGGCTAGGCTGAGGAGTCCATCGTGATCTTCTTGGGAGGTTGCAGAGGTCTCTGCTAATGGGCACCATCTCCCCAGCTGCGAGATTCCTGTCTGGATGTATTTTGCCATGGACCTAGTTTGGTGGGGCAGTCTTTTCCTACGTTTGAGTTACTGGCTACATAGCCTGCTCTGTGGGTTTCACTTGATCATTATGACAGGTGCAGGACCAAACTCTAAAGGAATTTCCTGGCAGTACAGGAGGCTGTAGTTTGAAAACAGCCCCAAAAGGACCTCTTGCAGCTTTCCTCAGTAACATGGATGGGCTAGTGGTAGGAGCCAAGGAGCAGGGCTGAGTCATTTCTTATCAAACTGTTAGAATCCTGTTGAATGTCCCTGTTTCCTTTAGTGGAAAGTCAGGTTTGCTGTAGTCAGACTGCTTTGCTTGATTTGATTGCCTCTCAGAAGTGACAGTTCTTTCCATTTGGTCTCCTTTTGGGCCTCTCTGACAGTAAGAGTGGCAGCTTTGTTATCGGAAGTGAGGGAAGGACCTCTAGACTCCCTTAACATTGGAGAGTGGAATGGGGGAGGGAACAGGAAGTAGGAACCCTGTATCAAAACTACTCTCCAGTTGACTTCCTGAGTGAAGGGTTATGAAGCATAGACAGAGGGGAGCTCCGAGACGAGCTGGAACGGTGCTGCTTTATTTGAAATGTTTTCTTACCTCATTCTGTGTCCCAGTCAGGGGTCCTGCCTCATCTGCTGGCTTGGCCCTTTCTTCCTCCTCTTCCCTGCTTCACTGCCTGTCTGGTGCAACTCATGATTCCAGGTGCTGCTTGCCATTCCAGCTTTCATATTGACTGGTTTCAGTTCATCTCTTGATTCTACTTAGGATGCTTGCACAATTTCTTGCAAGATTTTTTTTTGTTGTTGTTGACCTGCATTTGTGAACAGCTCAGAGGCGAATCTTACCTGCTCCCTGTTTTGGGATTAGAATGGGATAATAATCTAATTTTTTGTATTTAAAAGGTAGTAAGACTAAGCATTTGTCCTCCATGGGACTGACTACGTTGCTAGTGTGTCCTCCTGTTGTGTTTTCCCGAGGAGCTATGTTTTCTCACCTCCATTGAATACTGCCCTTCCTCTTCGGACCTAAGGAGAAGAGTTGTAAAGGCTGATGAAGGTGCAGTGGGTTGGAGTTGGTCCTGATGCGCTCTCTCTAACCCTCGCAGGGCATGTATACTTAGCCCAAGAGGAACTGTTTGGAGTGCACGAACTGGTTAGAGTTGCATACTCTGGAAGAGATCCATTTGCCTTCTGTCAGTAGAGTTGTTCTTAATAGGATTGGGAACTCATTACAGATTAGACTTAAATTCAGGAATTGTAGTAGCTTTAAAAAGTCAAATCTAAACAGAAGCTAAAATTATCTCAGTTTATCTTTGCCACTGACTTTGTAGACAAGTAAGGATACAAAAAGGAGAGTCTAATTAAGACTCTGCTACTTCCAAACAATGTTTTTTGGTAGCAGGGTGAACTCCAGAGGGGAAGGCCTTTGGGCTACTCTGTTCCTTCTGATAGAAAAGTGATGACTGCATCAATGTTAATTTTTTGGCCTTTTTCCCCTTCTGATGAAAAGGAGCAATGGGATGTAGCTTTGAATAATGGTTTGTTTGCATTACCTTCCAGTTGTTCTTTTTGTTCCATTGTCACTCCACCATTAGGGCACTAGCCCTCCATCCTTGTTGGGTTGAGGTGGTCTTAGTGCAACAGATTCCCTGAGGAGACATAATCCTTTCTAGGGAGAAAAAAGCTCCCTACCATGGTAGTTCACAGTGGTTAAGAACGCTCCTTTTCCTTTTCTGCCTTTCCTCTAATAGAATACCTATCCTTCCCTCTTGAATTAAGTGTATTGAGTACCCTGTAATCCTGTTATGTATCTGAGTGAGACAGAGCAAGAGCGAGTGTGTGTGTATGTGTCTGTGTGTGCTTATGGGGGAAAGGGGTTCTTTAAAATTTCTGTGGTTTGTGGCTTTTTCTTCCATACGTTAGTTCCTACCACCGCATGCCCAGGAGCTGTTGCCTGGCACTGTCACATTGCTGGGATCATTGGGGGAGGGTAGTGAAGCTCACCGCCGTCCTTTGGTTTTAAGATTTTTTTTTTTAATTTTTGCATAAGTAGTCAATCCTGTGTAGATGGATGATTGTGTATTTCCCCTTTGCCATTACGGCTGCTGTTGTAAATAAACTGCATCTCCCCATTGGTAAATGGTAATAATAAACAAAATTTTAAAAAAAAGTCTTTACTTGGACTCAGTATATTCAACTTTTAAAACTGTACACGGTTTTTACTTTATCTTGGATGAAACTTTACCCAGAATAGAAGAACTCTGCCTCGCCTTGGTTTTCAATCTAGTTCTAGAAAATTCGCCTGTCTGCTGAATCCAGTGAAAGAGATCAGCTGTATCCAATCATCCGTCCATATGAAGAAGGAAGCAATACAGGTTTAGTCCAGGCCAGTCAGTACCATACTGTGAAAAGTTTGAGCACTTCCCCATAGAAATTACACATTGTGTTCCTTTGGGCGGAGTTCCTTTTTGCTAAATATTCTAATTCATGTCTCCAAGAAATGTTAAAAGTATTAATTTGTCGACTCTGCGAAGAGCAATACATTTAAGTGTTCCTTTTCAGTTTAGACAAAATACAGCCAGTAAAGTGATCGTGTACATTGGGAAAATGTAGAAACTTGTGAGAAAAGAACCAATAGGAGAAATTCTTAAAATGAAACTTAACTGGCACTAATTATTTTGTCTTTAGTCAGATACTTTGGGATCCTATTTTGAAGGTATAGAATGGGTCATTGTTTTCATAGTATAGGCTTATAAGAAAAAAGATTTTATTTATGACTATAATAATATAAAAATGTCTTAAATATTTCTGTTGTTTTTTCCTACCTTTCCTTAAATAGAATTATTACATAAATAATGCAGTGCTTATTACAGAATTCTTTAATAAATGGAATTTTGAAATTGAAAGAAACCTGAAAAACTGATGCAACTTTATTTTTTGTAACATTTATTTATTATTTGGAAGAGTGTCAGAGGAAGAGAGAAAGGCTTCCCATCTGCTGGTTCACTCCTCAGATGGCTGCAAAAGCCAGAAGTGAGGGACCCATCATTTCCAAGGAACTGGCTTGAAAGCAGAATAGCCAAGACTTGAACTGACAGTCTAATGTGAGGTACAGGTATGACATTGCAAACAGAAGGCTTAACCTGCTGTGTTACATAGCAGCCTTATGTAGCTTGTGAAGTTTTTAAAATTTATATAATCAGACAGCCTTACAAAAAAAAGCAACAACTTCTAAATGTGAAAAGGTGTGTTTATTAAAAGTATTTTTAAATTATATTTATCGAAATTTAAATACTGTGCTGGTTAGTAAAACTGAAGAAATGAATTAGAATGAAGTAGTCCTTTCATGGCACACTGGTCATTTTGCCTTCTTGCTTTGCTGCCCAGTGATAAGCCTATATTACTGTTTTAATAATCAAAAGTGAAAATACTGCAAAGAAAAATGATAGCACTGGAGGTGTATTTGATTCCGTTTCTTGATAGCTGATCATGGGATGGAGCCACTTTTCTACATTCCAGATACACAGCTGGACAGTCTAAAGATCAGCATAAATGGGGGAATTTGTTGTAATGGAAAATTTAAAACTGTTTCAGGGGAGGCACAGCTGCATGTATGATTCACATGACAATATAATGGCAGAAGTATATCCACACACTGAATATGCAGAGGGTTAAAAATGGATTGGACAGAATTCTATGTACTGTTTCTCAGGATTCCTATCCTTTTGTTACTCAACTTACAGTAATATAAATACTTCCGTGAAGGAATTTTGCAGATTACAGTGCCAAATCAGTTGGTCTTAAAACACACAGATTCTTTGAGTAGTGTTGACCTGCTCCCTGGAGCACTTTGAAGTCAGGGAGTTGGGTCAAGCATTTGGCCTAGCGATTAAGAAGCTTGTTAAAGTACTCAGTGCATACCAGAGTACTTTTTTAAACATTTGACTCCATCTCCTTGTTTCAGCCTCCTGACTGTGTGCAACTTTGGGTGCAGCAACTGATGGTTCAAACAATGGTTACACATGGAAAGTCTGAGTTCGGGTTCCGTGATTTAGTCTGTTCAGCCACTGCCTTTATGGTCATGTGAAGGGTGAACCCACATATGGGAGCCTAATCTGTGTGGAGATCGAGTTTCATTTCTCTATTTCTCTCTCCGTCTCCCTCTCTCTCTCCCTCTTTTTTTCTCTCTCTTTCTCTCTCCCCTGCCTTCCTTCCCTCCCTCTGTGGGAGAAACAGACACACACACACACAGTCATTTACATCAGGCCCTGAGGTACCTCCAGTTCATGGTAAGTTTGGTTAATACATTTTGTCTCTTAGGCTGTTGCCATATGCGTTATTACAGTTCAAGCCTTACTTGCTTGGCAGTCACTTTTGCTGTTTGAATGTGAATTAATGTTTGCCTCTCATTTAATTATTTACTTACAGCTGAATTTTTTGAGTTAGAATCATTTATATTATTTCTTCTTGGTAGTGGATTAAACCATAATTCCACAACTGATTTAGACTTTGTTATAGAACAGAACTGTTTATTCCTAAGGCCTCCAGGCTTGACTCTGCAGGAAGCTGCATGACCTCAGATCACTTCCTCTCTCAAGAGCAAACTTGCTTATTGATAAGCTTGAAGAAAACATTTTCTTAGTTCCATATCACCTGAAACAGTCCATGACTCCATATGCTAAAAATTTGGAAAATCACTACCGTGTCTATTTTATTTCCAATAACTGTATGTCATCTTAACAGTTTG